TTGGGTGTCTTGACAGATTTTCATGGCAGTCTTGGCAGCTATATTCTTTCTGTAATTTACCACTTTGGGATGCATATACTTCCAAAGTGAGATGTAATATGCTGTGTAATTATCGTCACATTTAAAAAATAAATTCATTTTTTTGCTATTTCACATATGTGCGTAGGTGTTTTATTCAAGCCCATCCGAGCAGAGTAGCTCATGTTTGAGCCCGTGCTGGTTTAGTAAACCGAGTCGACTCAGCTTGTAAAAGCTCAACTCAATTCATTTAATAAAAATCTAAAACCTTAAGACTCCATTTATTTTGAGGAATTTGTGGAGGAATTTGAAATTAATAGATTTCAAATTTACAAGTTCAAATCCTCATGCATGTTGGGATGGTAATAGAAGTTGGAGGATTTCAAATTCATGCTAGATGTTTTTTAGTCATTATTTTGAAGGACTTTAAATGACTCCTCAAACCTAGTTATTTGAAATCCACTATTGACGACCACGCCGTCCGCGATCATTTAGGTTCATCACCACCGCGAGTCAACATCATCGGTGCGAGCTAGAACAATTGATTTATGATATTTTCAACACATCCATTCGAAGAGTGTGCAAGTTCAAAAATTTATATTTTAAAAATTTTGAAATTAAGGGGTTTCAAATCCCTGAAAACAAACGGAGCCTAAACGAATTGTACATGAGTTTGCTTAAGTAAACGAATTATCTTTTTGTGAATAATTTCGGCGCGGCCATTTTATTGAAAACCCAAAAAGAAAATAAAAAAAAATATTGTTTGTGAATAACTTTAATTCTAACTTGTTTAATAAATGAGTTTGCTTAAGTAAACGAATTAGCCAATTTTGAACTCTCACAAACGGAACCGAGTTGGCTTTTTAACAACTTTTTCTTTGTGTTGCATACGTGGTTCTTCATTTGTAAGTGTCAATTCCGTAAATGTTATTTTCCTACATTTTTTGCTACTTTTTTAGAGTTCTTCAGTCCATGTATGGATGGATTGTGCTAGAGTGATTTTGTTTATATTGTATTTTTGCTATAGATAGATTTTGGTATGTTAGAGATTTAGTGTATATTATTTTAGGGCTTCATTGATATCTTTATATTCAGCTCTTGTACAAACTCCACATGCACAAAGCACCACTGAAAATACAATATTTCCAAAATCACTCTAACAAATGGCCTCACATCTTTGGAGCCATCGAGTTTTTTTTGTTGTTTGATCAACACACATCCTTTGAATATGAGTATTTATATGTTAATCCAACAATAAAAAACACGATAACTGCACTGTAGAATCAGTAGAATAAAATGTTTTCTTAGATAGACATTTAAGAACCAAATTTGTGATCATGACAATACAATAATACAATAAATCTTTCTACTTAAGCTTTGATAGTAAATGAAAATCATCTGAAGAAAATTCTCTCTTAAAACTTCATGAGAGGAGAGAACAAAACAAGAAGATTGGTAATGGTGATATTAAGACAAAGATCCACGCGAAACATAGGGTGCCGCGCCTCCCTCACTGAAATACCAAAAAAGCCCCTGCCTTTCTCCGATAATTACTTCCCTTCCCGTGTCTTCTAAGTACAGTCCCCACTGTCCCTCGACCTTCATATTCCAATCTACAAACATCGAACGACCCTTGTCCTAAATTCAAGCTTTGTCCGAAAAAAGGACACTGTAAAAAAAGGGTTCTTTGCTCTCTGTTTTTCCATCTTCTTTTATCCTTTAAATTTAATCGCAATTATTTATTTTATAGCTACCGGGAAAAAGAAAAATGCCGGTCAAGAGTGAACCATCCACGCCGCCACCGAGGATCGGCAAGATCGGGCCGTACACCGTGTTCGTTACGCCTCCGGCCACGCCTAATGCCACCCCCAAACCGGAGTCTCCGGCCTCCCAGCCGCCGGTCCAGATCCCTCCGGCACCACGGGTCATGGCCCCGCCGGCTCAATTTGATAAAGAGAAGCCTTCATCTTTCGCCTTTTTCTGGAACACGGTGGCCAAGGTTCAAAATGGTATACTTTAATTGTCCATTTTTTTGTTTTTTCAAATTCAATCTCTGTTCTTAAAACTTAAAAGAAACAAAATGAAAAAATGTTGCTGAGAAATTAAGCTAAAGAATTTTGGGTTTTATATAATTTAGTTCAAATTGACCTCACTCGCAGCGCATGCTAGTTTGGATGAGCATGTAGCACATTGGTTCGGCTTGAACCAGTCGAAATATCAATGGGCATTGGATGATTATTATGAAAACAATGAAAAGGTGAGTTTTGTTTTTTTTTTTTTTCGCCATGTAGAGGGTCCTTTGTTGGTTGATATATTGTGTTTCCTTATCTAATTCATCGAGTAGTGAACTGTAAGAAGAACAAGTTATGAAGGGGTTTGTGTTTTGGTTTTGTCATACAGAGAGCTTTTAGATGGAAACAAATGTATATTAACAATCTTCTTTGATGCCATAGGATGAAATGAAACCGCGCCTAGATATTGGTATTCATGCTGCGGAATGTTTAGTTTTTGCCGTTAGTCTTGTGTATAATATCGACTTGTTCGCGGTGCTATCTTATTTAACCGGCTTTTATATGTTCAAGTTAGAGCTCTAGATTAGTTACAAACACCATTGATGAACTTTTTATAAGGTGTCCCATATGTCAAGTTCAGTTTTGTGTGAAAAATTCACTCATGACAAATTTGTATCATGAGAGGAGCCTAATTGGGTTCTGATGAAAGTCTATGCCAGGTTTAATTAACAGATTCTCAGCACGACTAATTATATAAGATGAACTCTAGCATTTACAAAATGTAGTCGTTTGGATATCCTCTTAATAATTTTCATGTACTTTAGATACAAGAAACTTGGATAAACTGTTTGTTCAATGGTGAGCAATGATAAAAAACAGAGAAGAGATTACAGAGAACATTTTGGAATCCATAGTTGCAGGGAGATTTGGGGAAAAGATATTTTCTCATTAACACCATAAATATTACAAGTGATGTTCTTATACTAAGAAGAATGAGGGGAGTAAAAAGATTACACATACCTCACTACGGTCACAAAATATGAAAACAGAAAAAACAGACTTCAAAACCATCTATACATTCTACAGCCCCGCCTCAAGCAGGACTAGTGTGAATATCACAAAGTCCTAGCTTGAACCATAAAATGGTAAAAGGAGAAACAACCGTAAAACCGTAAAATGCATACAAACTGGCTGAGTTGTTACACAGCATAAGTCAATTTAGGTCTTGTCATATTAAGGTACAGAAGTCTACCAACCAACCTCCTGTACCTATCACCCTCTGAAAACAATGTACCACCTGTAGATAACCTTTTAGAGCATCTGCAATGCATTGGGTCTAGTTTTGCCTATGTGGCATGTAAATAAGCCACAGTCTTGGATGACATGGATAAAACCATATAAAATTAACAAAATTAACTCCAATGCAAAGAGACTAGGTCTCTACTTAGGTCTAATATAGACTTAAGGGTAGATCGAGTATCTTTTTCTTGCTGCCACATCAGCAGGACCTAGTCTTCTTGTACTTGCATTGGAGAATATATTTTTTAAGACTGGGCCTATTTCTTAGGTGGCATATAAATATTTTTGAATGAACCCAATGCATTGTAGATACTCTTACCTGTAAAGTAGTACCTGTCAACAAGATATCATCAACATAGATGATCAAAGCCAAGAAAACATCATCAGACTGTTTGACAAATAAGCAATGATCATGAGTGGATTGATGAAAACCAAACACCAGTTTATCACAAAATTCAACATTCCGCTCCCTAGATGCCTATTTCAACCCATATGAAGTTCTGCTCGAGTGACGAACTTGTCCTGGTTCAACCCTTTTATACCCTTCAGAAGGTGTCATATATATATATATATGTCCTCATGCAAAGAACCATGTAAAAAAGCATTATTGATATCCAAATGATGCAATGGCCATTGTTTATGAACAACTATGGCTATGATCAACATGATGGTGTCCATTTTAGCAACCAGAGAGAAGCTTTCTAAGTGATCAATCCCATAGATTTGATGATACCCTTTGGCTACCAATCTTACTTTGTATCTTTCAATAGTACCATTTGGATTTAGCTTTACCTTGTATTTACATCCTATGACTTGTTTATTAGGTGGCAAGGCAACTAAATCACATGTATTGTTTCTCTCTAGAGCTAGCAATTCCTGATCCATGGCCTTTATCCATTCTTTACTTTTACTAGTTTGTGCATATGATTTAGATTCTTGTATATTAGATAAAGATGCCAGAAAGGACACATAACTCGGATGTAACAGGTTGTGAGAACTATGGTAGGTTGATGATGCATGGTGATGAAAGAAATCATCTGAGACTAGTCCAGTAGCAAAATGTGAAGACAGTGGATTAAGAGAAAGAAGACAAAACATAATCAGAATGCGAAGGAGAGGAATAAAAAGACTAAACAGTCCTCACTAAGTCCCAACATCACAAAATATGAAAACAGAAAAAACAGACTTCAAAAACATCTATACATTCTACACTGTTGGAAATTTCATGCATTTTATTCGGTGCTTAACTCAATAGGATCGAGCAATTATTTCCCGAGCCTGTGGTGATTAATTAGCTTTCTTATTAGGTCTCTGCCTGAAATTCTGAGAAAGTGCACTGTCATATATCTTATTCTTCTCCTAGGATGTAATTCGTCACTTTACCATCTCAAAACAACCAATGGAGTTATGATAATGCACATATTTAAGTATGCAAGTCTTATCTAGACTTGCTCTGGCTCGTATTTTGTTGTCTTCTTCACATTCATATTCTCTTCGAAAACACCTTGCATGTACTTTGAGTTTATCTTGTCTTAAAATATGCATAAAATTGTCAGTCCCGGTGAATTCTCTTGCATTAACTGTGGAGGCACGTACCAAACATATTATTAAGTTTGAAAATGGACTACTACTCCATTGAGCATTTTTAAGGACTTGAAACGAGATGGATGTGAAATTTTGTGTGTAGTTATGTATTTGCTTGCGAATTAATATGTGTTGTATTCCTTTATTTAGTTTGAGAAAAATGACATGAAAATTGAGCTTTAACAGCAGGATCGATGTGTTTTTTGTTATGATAAACTTCAATTTAAGTTTTACCAGATATGTTGCCTTATTACTCATTGTGATCCAAAATTGATTTGGTCTGTTTCACGTATTGATTACAGAATCAGGAGGCCAAAGTACAAGCTAAACCAAGCAAAATACAGAATGTGTAACAAGCCGGTAGATCTCTCTCTCCCTTTCTCTTTGAAATCTTATGATTTATATTTTGAGATTTTAATCCCTTTTTTAGGTGGATGGCATTTTGGGAAGGTTCTTTCTCCAGTTCCTTTATTCTGAATTCGGAATACTAAATGACGAAAATCCTGCATTTTGATGAGGAAATTCTTATGTTGTGTGTGCTATAAGAGATTTAGCTGTTTCAATTTCGATCTCAATGTAACTAATCTATATGTTTTTGTAACTGTGATGATTGTACCTGCTGTAACTTTGTGTAATCCCAGATATTTGTATGAAGTTATTTATTTTTATCGGGTACTAATTTGCGCGGCCAATGAAATATGTTATTCAGAGAAATTATACTTCTTGTTCGAACTTGTGTCGGGATTTTTATTTCACACAACCTGTGTCGAATCAACAGTAAAAAGTAAAAACTATCTACAGCAATGGGAACAAATTTTCTGGGCTCTAGCTTTGTCATACACATTAGAAAATTTTACTTATATTTCAAGGATCATGACTAACAAGGATGTTACCAAATTGCATCTAGTTGGGGGTTGAGTCTATTTTAATTTATTTGATTAATTACTGTTTTATTTATTTATTTATTTTATTAGAATAGAGATTGTTGCAGTTTCTAAGGGCGTATTCTTTGTATAATCCTCAAGAGGAATCAGTGGGAAAGAAGAACGATCTAGAGGCAGTTTGGGTTGAATTGCAAACTCTTTTGGCCTCAAAATTAGACAAATTAATTGAAAGTCCATAGACATAATTAGCTAGCATGAACAAATCCTTTGACCTAAATAGTAAAGTGTACTTTGAAATGTAAGCATGAACTGGTGATTGTAATATTTTTCATGGAAAAGCAAGATTGACCGGAATAATAATGTTTGCTACAGAAATATGGACTTCCTCATATAAGATCCATCATTTTCCAAAAATTAAAAGAAATAAAAATAATCAAATCACTTTCCAACAAAATTCTATATCCAACATCCATACATACTCCAGTCTACACACGAACAAATCCGATTCGTGTAAATTGCGAAGTGATTTACACCAACAAGAGGGTAAACAAGTAAACAACAGTAGAAAAAAAACGTGTGCAAAAAAACAGCTGAGAGCAAAAGGGACATCTGTACATTGCTTGGATTTGTCTCTCACAAACATGTCTAAACTGCAGGTATATTGGCAAAGGAGAAACCTTTGTAACCCTTGTAAGCATAGTAGGCAATCCTTGTGTAATAGAACCCGGGAAGAAATAGAATCCCACCAAGTATAGCAAAAAATATCCCTGTAATAAGTAATAACAATGGTTACACACTATTTTGTGCATTAAAAAACCAATCTGTGAGAAGGTAGAAACTCAGCTCCCAAAGGCAAATATGAAGATAAGATGGAAAAATTGAGCATGGAGTACACAGGGGCAAAGCAGAATAAACAATATCTCTGTAGACAGAAGAAATCTATCATAATCATAGGGTGACAAACATTACAATGTGACATGGCAGCAAAATATAGAAATTAAACCAGCTTCTTCCCTCAAAATCACCTGCTGATTTTGTCCATTAATCATGTAAACTGACCGAACAGCTAATCTTGATTCTGCACTTAGACATATCCATATGTATATAAGTACATTCAATCCCAAAATGTTTCACACCCATTTTGAATTAAAGGAAGTAACCTTTTATCTTGTTTTAGTTTTTTTCTTCTTTTTTCAGTTACTCGCGAAATCCCTACATCTACTTACAATAAACCACACCCTCCATATACTTCTGCAAAAAGTGAGTACCTCACAGATGAGCCATTCATTCAGAGCAATCATATTTCATAAAGAAAGGCAATTGAAATTTAATTTAGGCAATCTGATGTTGCATCACTTTAAACTCAGACCGAGAAATAAAGAACCGATCTTTCTTAGTTTGCTCACCTTAGACTTCAAACACCAGAAAATATAGACTTCGATCATTAAGCGGTGCCATTAAAGAACTGTATAGATGGGTTTTACCAAGACCGAAAAGAAAGTTAAGACCAAAAAAAGAACAGGCATTTTGGTTTTTTGCCTGTTCATATTTCCATTCTAATACCTTCATCAGTAACAATCAGCAACTATAATCAAATTCACAACAACAGTTTGTGAAATTCCATAGATAATACTATGATGCAATACTCATCCATTTCTGAATGCATACAAAACAAAAAGACCTTCAAAAACATCGATACTGCTAATACTTCAAACCTCGATAAAAAAAGGAAAGAAAAACAACCACAATCAAAATCAGACCATTATATCCACAACCCATAAATAACCCCAAAACACTAATAAACCCTAACAGAAACAGCTCAAGCGAAACAGTCAATAAACCACACATCGGAAGTTAAAAACAGATATTTACCGTGAGCTCGGTCCCCGCCGACTCTATTGACTGCCATGGAGACGCCGAGCACGATCCCGAGGGCGCCGAAGACGAGGAGCGAGACGGCGAGGGCGATCTCCTTGATCGGTGGCCGGTTGTCGATGTACGATGTCTCCATCATTATGTCATCGTCTGATATTGAGAACGTATGATCCACGTATGCCATTGTTTACCTTGTCGAAGGTATTAACTGGGTTTTCTTTCCTTGCCCGTTTTTTACAGCCCAAAGCTAAAAATTGTTAGGTGTGACAATGGAGAAAGGAGAAATGCTGTTGCTTGAGAAGAGGGTCGCTAATGGCGATGCGTGTTATTGATTTTCCCGATAGTGAAGAAAGAAAAAAGGTAAAGAAAGACTGTAACTTTATATCCAGAACCGTGAAACAAAATTGAACTGAACCGGACAGAAATTAACTGGTTCGGCTCCGTTTTTTTAATTCACGATCGTTTTTTTTTTTCTTTTTCCAATTTATGTAAAAAAATGAACGGTCAACTTGATCGGTTTCGGTTCTTTGAAAAAATGACAAGAACCGGTTTGGGCCTATGAAATACTTTTGAATTTTCCCAACTTTTACACTTATAATTTTTTTTTATTATTATTATTTTCAGAAAAGGGATGAGAAACATATAACTTATAAGAAAGTTGCTTTGAGAGAATGGTCATTATCTATATCATTTAAATAATTTAACAGTGTATTTGAGACATGAATTTTACTAGTTTCAATCAAGAAACTAAATTATCATGAATAGTTTTGGGGATTGAATTCGATACTATACATATTATCATGAATAGTATCAAATGACAAAGTTAGAAATTCAAACTTGAAACTTTCTACCTCAATAGTAAATCAGACTTTCTTTTCTTTTTCCAAAATGTACATTCTACGAACTTACTAGTTTTTTTTTTTCTTTTCTTCAATGGATCATTTCAACATACTATTGGATCTTCACAATTTAATGCNGTTTTTATGTTTACCTTTTTTAAGCTTACCCTACGTTATATCTTCATAGAGACTTACATCTGGAGATAGCTTTGGCTTCCATTTGATTTCCAAATAAGCTATTTTGAGTTTCTAAATCAATCTCATCATCTGCTTGAGTTCCTAATCTAACCAGCCTTTGCCGGTTTTGTACTTTGTTGCCGTGAAGCACCAAAATAGAAAATGCTCGTTTGCTTGGAAAATTAAGCGACTCGGTTCATTGTTCATGGCTCGGTAATTTCGAACCAGAGTGTAAGCCAATGAAAAACAAATCCTTATCTTTGCAAAATGTACTTAAATAATGATTTTACAATTCTCTATTTTCTTTCTTTGTTTCAACTGTTAGAACATAATCATTCCCTAATTACTGCCCCATTGCACGTGAGAATGAAGCTGGATAAAGTCTCAGAGTCCCCCAACAGAAGGAAATTGAAACCAGTTTAAACAGGCGCTACAGAAAAATGGTTATCATGTAATTTTTTCTCATCTTAACAAAGGTTCCTTTTTAGTAATGTAGATATATTGTCAGAATCAATTGTTTGTCCTAATTTGGCCAAAACCCAATTAATTTTAACTTATTTTTCATGTGGTTGGTCATTCTTCAAGTGCATTTAGAAAAATAAAAAATAAAAATTGAACTTGAATATTTGAACAAAAATGACTCTAAGTTGGTATAGGGGTGTTTTTTCCTCAGTTGCATTTAAATTAAAAGATTTGAACTTGAATGGTTTAGAATTCATTCGCAAATTCTTGTACGAGACAGTCTAACCATTAGACGAGTCGACTCATCATATATACTCTAGTATACTTACATTATCAAATGTCATACTTTGGTTTTTTTTTAAAACGAATGACATTTTCTAATTATGCATATTTGTGGGAAAAAATAAATGACGGCCTAATGGTTAGGCGTACGAAATTCTATTAATACAGAATTACATAGATTTGAAATTGGCCAACATGTCTGTAAAACCAGCTAATAGCAATCTAAAAAATTTGAAAATTTTTGAAATAACAAACTCATTGATTTGAAGTTATTGCTTTCCTTCCAACTGTATAGAAAAAATTGGCCAAATTTTTGGTGAAACCTAAACCAAAAGGAGATGCAAGAAATCCAACTGTCCACATCTAACTCAAAGTAGCAATTGACAATGACTTAATATGAGAAAGAAAAGGTGGGACAAACAAGTCCTTGCATGCATTCATGGGATGGATTATTAATATTTGCTGCAAATCAAAGACTTATTTGATATTTCCCTTTCACCTCTGGTTGAAAACACAAAATAAAATAAAATAAAATAAAGACTGCATTTTCTTAAATTTTCCCCTGTGTGCTGCTGTTGCAAAAGGCCACATAGCACCAATTAAATGCCTTTGGACCCTCAAGGAAGAAAATTCAAATGAACCCTTCATTTTTGTCCTTTTCTTTACCTTAATGGCACCAAACCAAGTTTACAAATATTGGCCAGATCATGAAGAATTGCATAGACCAAAGCTTTACAAGCTTATAGATACTTAGTTTTACTTTTATCTTTTCTTTCTATTTAACCTTTAGACTAATGAAACGATTAAATTTTTCAATGGCTTCACCGAACGATCCTTCCTATATATGTCGACTTGTGAAAAATAAATCGGTGTTCTCCAAAATTGAAACTTTTTCTTTAGTTAGGACCTGACTTTTGTGTGCCCAATTAATAGATTTGTTAGCCTTTTTTCCTTACATTGAACTGAAAACCACATGCTCGGTCATATTTTCTGTCGGCCGGTTCATTTATTAATTTTGCGTTTCGTTTTTGTGAGCGTACATTTTGTAGCCTTGACTAATATTCGTCGTTTATAGTACAAACTGCTGTGCTAATTAATTTTATTCATATGCATAATTAATTGTTGGATATTCATATGAATATGATACATAGTTTTGTATGTTGGATATATAGAGTTTGAACTGAACAAAAAAAAAAAGTTGGAATGAAAAGCAATTCTTTGGCTCTACTTGTGATGATAAAAAATACTTTCTTTCTAAATTATGTGCTATTTATTATATAATTGATGGCCTCAAACATTAATCATAATTCATAACCAGATAGCATAAGTACAGAACCACAAAGTGGAAACAACCAACCAAGCTGAAAATGAAAGAACATCAAAATCCCAAGGAAAAACTTGAAAAACAAAAGTAAAAAAAAAAACACCATAAACTAGTAGAATTAATCAAACTTATAATTAGAGTATACATACATTTTATCTACTTTTCACCTGTTGTGCAAAGGGTTCGACCCTGTTGGCACGAACCGCTTCTCGTCCGACACGATTTTACTGCCCGTCGATGAATACCGCGAAAAATGCAGCCTCATTGAGTTCCCTTTTCTTGCTAATTCTGTTAAGGCCCTGTTTGGCTCACTCCCATGATTATAAATTGGAGGAGGGATAAATAACTCTTCTCTGCTCATCACAACCTGATGATGTTGCACAAGAACAAGTAGTAGCACAAAAATCTTCATCTTAAAAACTAGAATTTTTCAGCTGAAATGATTTTTTTTTTTTTATACTCAAGAATGATATGATTATGTGTTTACTTGC